ATTAACAGATGAATAAAAACAAGGAAAAAAACTGGAACGAACATGTAAACCGAATGGGACCAGATAGATTAACGAACATCTGTAAAAACAAGAAACCGTATAGCGGAAGACCCGTTGGAAGGCCGCCAAAAAGGTGGAAAGATAATGTACAGTCAACAACAACTGAAACAGAATAAGAGGCAGACAAACAGGAGTAATCTTAGTCGCATGAAGAAGGAGAAGAAGATTTAGTCAGTGTAGTAGTCTTGACTTGCTACCAGGCAAACGCAGCATTGATAACTAATTACAGCTTTTATAACCGATGCATTTACCATTTTTATATACAGGGTGAGTGGGGAGGAACGCACCCAACTTTAAGACTGTATAATATACGTAAAAATAAGTAAAAATAACTCAGATGTTGTTATTCGATTTTCATTTGTTTTAGAGTTATAGCGATAATAATACAAAGTTGTAACTTAACATTAATTTAATGTTAAATGTTCTTATAATAAATTTTCAAACATACCACCATTGACCTGTAAGCATTTTCTGCTTCGTCTATGAACATTCAACGTTGCTCTTCTGATTGCGTCATGGTTTGCTCTAAATGTGGCTGCAACATTTTTAATGCGTCGAATTAGTGCATCGCGAGTGTCGACTTTTACCTTGTAAACTTCATTTTTAAACCAGCCCCATAAAAAATAGTCTAATGGTGTTAGGTCTGGAGACCTCGGAGGCCAACTAATAGGACCATTGCGACCAATCCAACGCCTTGGAAATTTTGTATTTAAGTAAATGTTGCCTGACCTGACGAGCAAAATGTGCAGGAGCTCCATCGTGCTGATAATACATTTGCATTCTGATATTTAGTGGAATGTTCTGTAGAAGTCCTGGCAATTCATTCTGTAAAAAATTCAAGTACTCCTCTCCTGTAAGGCGGTTCTCAAATATGAAAGGGCCAATTAAATAACCGTCGATCACACCACACCACACGTTTACCGAAAATTTGTGCTGAAAACTAGCTTCAATTGTTGCATGTGGATTTTCATCTGACCATACATGTGAGTTGCGGCTATTATTAATACCGTCTCTGGTGAATGTTGCTTCATCGGTAAAAAGTATGCGGGATATAACACGACGATTATTATTTATCCATCGACAAAATTGCATACGGCTGGCATAATCTTCTGGTTGTAGGTGCTCTACACGTTGTAGGTGGTATGGATATAAACCTTGCTCGTGAAGTGTGTTAATTACTCTCGTTTAAGGAATGGCTAAATGAGTACCGATTCTTCGTGAGCTGATCCCTGGATCATCTTCTACTGAATCCAGAATATTTTGTATTTCTTGTAAACTTTGTCGGGGAGCACGTTCCGATATTATTTTATAACTAGGAAGCGTTCCGGTCTCGCATAGTTTATTGAAAACTCTAATAAATACATTTTTATCTGGAGTTCTCCGATTTGGAAACCGTTGACGATATTCTTCAACAGCAGCTCTACCGTTTCCATTACAAAAGCCATAAACAAACACCATAGTTGCATAATCACTATTTGAATAAGTATGTGGCATTTTGCAACAACTTTTTTTATACAAACTGTCAAATAGACATTAAATCACGTTGTGACAGTTAACTAATTATTAAACGAATCACAGATACCTGTTACAGCAATGTGATAAAGTAGCAGTAAAATTATAACTTTGTGTTATTATCGCTATAACTCGAAAACAAATGAAAATCGAATAACAACATATGAGTTATTTTTACTTATTTTTACGTATATTATACAGTCTTAAAGTATGGTGCGTTCCTCCCCACTCACCCTCTATAATACCGCATTACATCAGTGTTTAGTATTATGATATGCATAACAGTATTAGTTTTACTAGAAAATCATATTTTAACGTATTTTTTATAAAAGAGAATTAACAGAAATTTTAAATTTAATTATTTAGTTCAAATCTTAACTTTCTCGTCATATTCATGATTATTTTCTTCTAGATTAAACCATTATTTTTGTTAGTTTTATGTGTATTTCTTTGATTTCGCCAAAATATATTTTTATATTTTCCATAAATACTTAACTTTAAAAATACCTAACGTTAAAATGGATATATTCAAGACGCTATGGAGGTAACCTAGCGGTATAAATTTTGTGAAAGATCTGGTAAACCATATTCCACAAATATGACACGGAAAGTGTAGGCGAGAGAAAGTAAGAAGAATTTAAAGACACTGGTCAAGGTCAAGTAATAAAATTTTATAAGGTAGTGTTAACATGGAGAAAAGTAAAAGTTTTTCTTATAGTAGGTGGATGAAAACAAATAGGTTTATTTAAAGGTAATAATGTTCTTAAGCTATTTTCTTGTGGAATTTCGATAGTATTTATTATTTTTAACGGGAATTACCTACATTTTCAGTTTAAAATACGTTTCGAAAAACACTCGGGTATGTGAATTTGTATTAGTTCACCTTTGTTAAAACAAAATCTTTTTATACAAGTTGTGTCATGTAACAGTGGCCTATACCAGCTTTCTTATTTTAAATACATCCTACATCTAATACAGAATAATTACTTCGTACGTACAGAATAAGTTTAATACGTACGTACACAATAATTTTTTGACTTTTCAGATCATTCAGATATATTTTATTCAATATCCTATACCTATCTTCAAATTTTTTCGAAATATAAATATATATTATATATATATATATATATATATATATATATATATATATATATATATATATATATATATATATTTGTATATATATATATATATATATATATATATATATATATATATATATAAATGTGAGTGAGATTAAAATCTCACTGTAAATGAGGATATCGGTCAAGGAGAAATAAAAAATGAAAAAACTATTTCAATCTTTTAATAGAAAACGTTTCGTGCAGTATTTCTGCACTTCTTCAGTTCTAATGATTGTGAAGTCATATATAGATATCAAACAATGTCAAATGCATATATTGCGATGTTATGGTAAAAAAATTTACATTCAAAATTTTATTTAAAAATTATACAAACATTGAAAGGTTACAAAATGTCACATGTGTTAACAAGAATAATATAATCTAATACAACACTTCTATTCTATCGCTGTTATAAAATATCTGGAAACATGAAGCCAGGAGAAAAAGTACCTTGTTTTTATTGAGCTCAGTGAAACAATTTGAACAAACTATTTTTATTGAAAAAAGTATGGAAAGTTTACTTTATTGTTAGATACACCAAAGTAATTAAAAGAAAAAAAAAAGGAACTTTTTTTTGATGGAACATCAAAATGACTCATTTTCCTCTGATGTTAAGATCGATTTCCATCCCCTGTATAGTAGAAGAGTAGCAGACGATTTGTCTGTATCGACCTGTATATCGACTGATCCGTGAGTAATGAACTATTAATCGAGGGTAAAGTAAAGGGTGTTATTATCTGTTCAAAAATAGTGAGTAGTGAAAATTTGATTAAACGTTCGTAGGAAAAATACATTAATAGGATAGAAAAAAGAACAGTGTTGAGATAAATAAGCAGAAATCAGTAAAAACGATAAGCCGGAAAACGCCATAAAAGACATATAGTATTCTATGCAGTTGTTGTTTCTGGCTGTAGTAATGACAAACTATATTACGGTAACCACAATTTAAATCTGCTTTCCTGAGACTATTTTTAAGAGAATCTTTACTGTATAATACATATATGAAAAATGCATATAAATTGAAAAAGACTATTCATTATCACCATTATCATTACCCAGCCGTTTGCGTCCACTGCTGGACATAAGCCTTCTTCATTTTTGTCCATTGTGCTCTATCTTGAGCACTTTTCATTTAATTTCTTGACATTTTCTTAAGACCGTCAGTCCAAAGAGTAGTGGGTCTTCCTCTACTTCTTTTATTTAACCTCGGCCTCCGCTCAAGCAATCTCTTCATCCACCTTTCATCACTAATTCCGGCGACGTGTCCTGTTTAGTTCCATTTCAGTGTGGCAATTCAGGAAATTATATCGGTAGCTCCTGTTCTTCGTCTTAAGTTTTTATTTCTAACTCAGTCACGAAGCGATATACTCAGCAGTGACCTTTCTACTTTCCTCTGAGCTATTTACAGCGTTTTGTAAGTTGTAGCTGTCAATTTCAAAATTTCGGCACCACAGGTCATCACAGGCATTACACATTGGTCAAATGTCGTCCGTTTTAACGAAATTGGTATATCGCTGTTAAAGATGTCTTTAAGTTTTTCATAGGCTGCCCATGCTAGGTTTATTCTTCTTCCTAGTTCGCATGTTTGGTTGTTTCTTGTAATCTTTATTTCGTGTCCACCAGCTCCATTTCGTTGTCTCCAAAATTGATATTTCGCTAGGTACTAGGTTAATCATAAATTTTGTTTTGGAGATATATATATTTTAAAACCCACACTGGCACACTCTAACTTAAGTTCATGTAGCATTTTACATATCTCCTTGGGATTTTCTGAGAACAAAATCATGTCGTCTGCGAATTTTAAATTTGTTAATCTTCTACCGTCAAGGTTCAGGCCTTTCTCTTCAGAGTTAAGTTTTTACAACCATATTCTAGTACTGCGGTAAACAGTTTAGGCGACAAGGTATCACTTTGTCGGACTCCTTTGCCGATTGGAATATATTGGGTTTTTGTATATATTGTAAATTAACCATATCGGTAGTCAATGCGGAATGCTTGTAGTGCTTAAAGGATTTTGTCACGGAACGAAATCTCGCTTGCTCTATTGGCTGGTAGAAATCAAGTTATTTCTCAAGACGAATCATTACTATTCTTGTAAGGAGTATAAGTGACTATATAGAGAATATTATAATATATATATTTTTTAGTATTGTACAGTATTATATCTTGATATCGTTAAGTAACACTTACAGTTTATATTTATTTTCAGGTTGATGTCAATGTCACTTGATAGCGAACCTTGTACAGAAACGGACTAGCGAACAAAATGCGTAAAGAAAACGAAACTAATAACAGATAAACATGGAGGTAGTAGCAGCGGCCCCTGGCGGGGCACCTTTTCATGATCACGACGTTCGCGAATGGTCAAGAATCGATTCGATCACTGGTGCCCTCGAACGAGCAAGATTAGAAACCGATCATTGGTCAGCTAATACGATCAATTCTTCTCATAAATACGGCAAGGTAAGAGAAAATTATCTGCATATACTTATATATTTATATACAAATTATAAAATAAACTATTTATTTGACATTTTGGAAGTGCTTTTAAAATTTATTTTTAATACTAACACTAGCTAGTTTAGATAGGTTTGATACTATCCATGGTACCATGTACCAAGCACGTAGATCAAGTTCAGTACAATTCATTAAAGAAAAATAAATATTATTTTTTATCAAAATAATTGTAGAACTTCGCGTCTTTATAGATATATTTCTAAATAGAAAAATTTTACAAATATCAAGTTTTTATGATAGCATCTTAAACAATGCATAAAAAACAACAAAAGTTTTAAGAAGATTGCTAACAGAAGATTGCATGAAGAATATCACTACAGATACAAAGTAATTGTTATCACTTATTCGGATCTTCATTTAAGAAAGACGTACTGGTGGGAATTAAATTAATCCACGTCGACCGCTAGAAGAAACAAATAAAGTGGTTGTTCTTCTTCTTCTTCTTCTGGTAGCACTACAACCCGGGGTGGGTCTTGGCTGACTGCACAACCTGCTTCCATCTCGAACGGTCGTCCATGATGTTTAAGTCATTGGGTAGCCCCATTGTTCTTAAATCTGACCATATATTATCTCTCCATTGCATTCGTGGACGTCCTAAGAGCCTTCTTCCTGTCGGGACTTCTTCCCAGATTAACCTGGTAAGGCGGTTATTAGGGAGCCTATGAACATGGCCAGCCCATCTTAGACGTTGGGATTTAATCTCTTGGACTACGTCGCTAGTACTATACATTTGTTTGACCTCGGCATTTGTTCTCATTCGGTATTGGTTAGTATTCGGATCGTGATAAGGACCGAAGATCTTTCTGAATATTTTTCTCTCAAAGCATCTGAGTTTACTTTCCATTGCTTTTGTCAGCGTCCACGTCTCACACCCATACATGAGCACCACTGTTATGAGCACCAATACATGAGCACTGTTTTATGTATCCTGATTTTTGATGTTCGTGTTAGGCTCTTGGATTTAATAGTGTTGTGGAGGCTATACAAACATCTGTTTGCTGCCTAAATTCTCCCTTTTATCTCTTCCGTGATATCGTTATCTGTGGTGATAGTCGCTCCGAGATATTTAAAACTCTCCACTCTTTCAAAGTTATAGGAGTCTATTGTTACATTTTGTCCTATTCTATCTCGTCTCTTTTGTCTGTTAATGCACATATATGTGGTTTACTCTTCATTGACCCTTAGACCAGTATTTTTTGCCTCTCTCATTAATTTATTGAAGATTTCTTTTACATTGGTGACGGTATTTCCTACAATGTCAATGTCATCCGCGTATGCTAGTAGTAATTTTGGTCCATTTACTGTCAGTAGTTCTGTTCTAATTTGTGCGGTTCTTACTACTTTTTCCAGGATTATATTAAAAAGAAGAGGTGACAGAGCGTCTCCTTGTTTCAGTCCACTGTTTATTTCAAACAACCCTGAGAGCTTGTTACCTATCCGCACTTTAGATCTACAGCCATTTACACAAACTTTTACGAGCTGGATAAGTTTTTTGAAACTGAAAGTTCTGCCATTGCATTCCACATCTGATCCCTTTTAATGCTGTCGTATGCTTCTCGGAAATCTATGAAGAGATTATGAATGGTTCTATTGAATTCCTATCCTTTTTCAAGCCGCTGCATGAGAGTAAAAATCTGATCTGTGGTCGATCTATTTTTTCTGAATCCGGCTTGGTATTCCCCTATGAAATTTTCTACAAAAGGTGTTAGTCTACTTAATAGAATGTTCGGTAAGATTTTGTACGCCGTATTAAGTAGGGAGATGTCTCTATAGTTAAAGCACTTGGTTTTGTCTCCCTTTTTATGGATAGGAATTATTACACTTTCGTGCCATTTTGTTGGTATTTTCTCTTCGTTCCATATAAGTGTTATTAGTTTGTGTAATTGTCTATGTAAAGTTTCTCCTCCGTACTTAAGAAATTTGGCTGGTATATTGTCAGAGCCTGGAGCTTTTGCGTTCTTTAATTTGTTAATTGCTTGCAATGTTTCGTCTATTTTTGGGTAATCTACCGGTAGGTCCAGCCCAATGTATATATCCTCTCCATGTTCTTCATCTTGGTGTATATTAAGTAAATTTTTGAAATATTCTTGCCATGTTTGGAGTAACTTTTGTTCGTTGATTATTAATTCATCATTATTTTTCCTCTGTACAGACATGCAGTTAGGTCTGAATCCTCTCTTTTTGTTTGACACACATTTGTAAAATGCTCGACTATTTGACTGTTGTCTATTTTTTTCCATTTCTTCATACTGCTGCTAATTAGTTTTCTTGTTCTCGTCGTGATGTATAGTTTTCTTTACTTTCTGTTGTTTCTTGTTGAAGCATAATGTTTCGCTTTTTCTGTCTGTCTTGTAGTTTTTCTTGGCATTCTTTATCAAACCATTTCCTTGTTTTCGTCCTTCTTTTTCCTATTATTAGTTCTGCTGACTCTGTAATTGATTTTTCCATTTGTTACCACAGCCTTTCAACATCATTGCTCTGGTCTATTCTATTTAGATGTTGTTCCATTTCCTGTACGTAATTGTCTCGGATTTCCTTATTTTGCGTTTTCTCAATGTTCCGCTGTCCCAATGCTTCGTTCGTTTTAAGTTTCTGTGATGATATTCTCAACAAAGTAGTTGTTAGATTTGCAAATTTGGTATTACACATTATTTACAGTTTATTTTATTTATAAAAAGTTAAATGATAGGTGATAAATCAGTTAATAGTTAACTCAATACTGATATTTGTAATCATGTCTCGTACATTATATCATCTAGACCATTAAATAATGGGTTTTGCATGTGCCTTGTAAACAAACAAATTATTGACGATATCATCCAATACTATAGACAAATCAAAATCCAAAATGATGTACAAGTCAGAAGACTAATTATACAAGCGGATCTCATTGCTGTATTAAATGTATATTCCATAAGACCACACTGTTTTTTAGTAGACTATTTACAAAACCAAATGAACTTAATCTTGTATCTCCAATCATTTTTCTAAAAAGCGGGTTCAGCCTACGCGAATAAAGTAATATATAAAACTTTAGAAGACAAATATATGGGAACCCCATAATACATTGTTACCCAATTCATTTACTTTATACTTCGACAATAGAACAAATCGAATATTCTTATTTTAAAAAGGTATGGCCTGTTATCACTGCAAAAGCTGTAGACATATCCTTACGAACTCTTCCGATATATTGGAGGTAACTAAAAATTCAGTTGCCTCAAACAGCGGTTAGCTTCCATCGCCCCTCTGAAGTCATATTATAAGTTGCTGCTACATTCTCATGAAAGAAACTAATTACTATCGAAAAAAAAATTAACTAGTAATCTGATTAATTGAAAAACAGAAAAAAACCAACAGGTAGCTAACACTATGGAAAGGGGCCTGCAGAAATAGAATAATTAAAATCATATGCTCTTGAACCTAGCAAAAATTCTATCGAAGAGCACTCACTCTGATTTGTTCTTAATTTAACTTACATCTACTTCTAAGCAATGTCATCAGAGTACAAGATCCTTTAATATAATTCAAGATAATATTGCTGACGTACAGGCGTTAGAACATATGCTAACTAAAGTCCATCCACAAATAAAAGATATATCAATCAAACGTAAAATTATCTCATTAAAAAAGAAATTTATTCTTTATATGAATTTAGAAATAGCTTTATATGCATACCATCCCACATTGGCATAGTAGATAACGAAAGAACTGGACAGTGTGCGCTTACAATTGCTATGTGTGCAGATATAAAAAAAGCAGAGTGTTGAAATACCGCCAGTGATGGATAGGATTTTTAAAGAAAAAAGTTTTGTACAAATGAAAAAAAGGGTTTTGAAACCCCATTGAAGCAAATTTAAAGTGACGTTATAGCTTGTAAACCTTCAACTTAAAACAGAAGAAATCAATTGGTGATATTGGCACTTTTACGTTAAACATTTAATGTACAAGTTACTGTTAACCATGTTTTTATGGTCTCATTCACTAATAATCGTATCGCATACTAGGGCGGTCCGATAACTACTTAGCCTACAAATGAAAAAAAAAAAATTGGAAAAGTGGCGATTTATTTCTCAACATAGTCTACTTCTGTCGTGACGATCTGTTTTGGCCCAAATTTCTGAACAATGAGTTCCTTTTCAAGTTTGGAAATAAATTGAAGTCTCACGGGGCAAAATCTAGAGAGTAGAGTGGTTGTGGGAGAGAGAATAGTCGACGTAGATCATCCCTTGTGAGTCCCAGAAAATGATGGCCATCATCTTTCCGGCCGATAGGATAGTCCTCACCTGCTTCGTAGCACGATGGCTGGGTACCACCACGGTCTTTATTGTTGTTTGGTCCATGGTGTGTATCAATGGATTCATGTTTTATCATTGTTTGTGAAACGGTGTAAAAACTCCTTTAGATTGCGCTTAAATAGCGTCAAACACTGCTGTGAAAAGGTCTAAAAGCTTGTTTTTCGGAGTGAGAAAACGCGGCAATCATCGCGCTCAGCTATCTCGTGTACTTTCAATCGGCGGCATGTCAATATGAAATCGTGGATTAAAAATCGACGTGCCAACACGTTGACACTCGTTAAACCAATTGTTGAGGGTTGCCACGAAGGGAAAGAGCCACCATATACAGCATCCCAGTGCTCTTAAATTTCACTGTGCTATTTTCTTTGCAAAAACAAGAATCGAATCACCGATCGATGTTACTCTCTTTCCATTTTTCTAAAACCCGCGGACACCCCCGCTTTCACACGCGGTCGAAACAAAACTTCGGGTCCAATTCGGCTGAAATTTTAACATTAGCCGTTTACGAGAATGTAATGTGATAGTAAATTTCTCTTGTGATAGTGGCGCCATCCGGCGGTGAGACTAAGTACTTACCGCGCCACTTACATACATATTAGCATATACAATTTATTGGCCTCCAATCTTTAGACGGACAATATTGGAATG